GGGGCAGTCTTCAGTCAGAGCTGCTGTGATGGATGGGTTCTGGGTGTACAAACTTAGGTATATTGGATCTGTGGGATTATGGAATCCCTGTCTTCGCATTAGGTTTCTCTGCTAAAACAGTCATCTGTCCTACAGAGAGATGTGCTTTCCAAATACGTCCACAAAAACAATATCCTTTGTGATTAAATTAACATAAGGTTATTACTCAGCTCCAAGTAAGCAATTACCCAATTTGGAGAGTTTCCTGGAACAGTCAGTTGATATTGCCCAAAGCCATGTATCTGCAATTTAGATGAGATGTCACTGTGTGAATAAAGCAACATGATGCTCTCTTAAAAAAACGCTTTAAAACCTTCTCTGTTTGCTCTGTTTGTGTGCAATAGTAGTCCTTTGAACTGGTCTCCCCGCCCCGCCCCCACCCCGCGTTGACCTTTACCTCATGCGACTCTTTCTGATCTGTGTTAATGTGTCAGAAGACTACAACTAAGTTCTCATTCAGTTGCACTTTCAATCTTGCACTTAAAAACAATGGTTGAGAATTGACTATTTCATTAATGCATTGTCACATGGTTTGAAGCTGAGGTTCTACAAATAGGACTCAAATGAACAGATACTTAAAACCAGAAATAAACTTTTCTGGGAATCAGAAAGCCTGTGACTCTTTCATAATTCTGGGGAGGTTATTTGACCCCCGAGCTTTATTTTCTATTTGTAAAATGATAACATTGCACCCAAGAGGTACTGTTCAGAGTGTGTTATTTAATACACATATGTAATACATTATATGAGTTGGTATGCTTATAGCAATTATATATAATATTTACAAATGTAATTTTTATAATATTTATAAATATAATGATTATATGTGTGAAACAAAAGCACGGAGCCTATTACATCATTGTTGATTAACAAATTATTAGTTCCTTCTCTACTTTAAAAATCTACAGACTTTTGTTCCAGGCCTTCCTCAAAGAAAACATAAAACTAGCATCCACCTATCATAGAATCTTTCTTCTACTTCTAATTTTATTTTATTTTATTTGGCACCAATACTTGGGCTTGAACTCGGGACCTAGGCGCTGTCGTTTAGGTTTTGCTTTCATGGCTGCTGCTCTACCACCTGAACCACACTTTTACTTCCAGAATTTTTGGTGGTTAATTAGATATGTCATGTGTACTTTTCTGCTCAAGCTTGCTTTGAACAATGATTCTCAGATCTCAGCCTCTTTAGTAGTTAGCATGAGCCACCAGTGCCCAGCTTCTAATTGCATTTAATTTATCTCTGTAGTTTTTCTTTCCCACCTCCTCACATTTCTGGGCCTTTCTATGACTTTCTATGCCAGTCAATAGTCTTAGGGGATACCATTTCCTTGTTTCTCTCTCAAGTTTTCCAATCACACTGCTTTCCCAGAGGATCTCCCTGAAATCTATTTCTCAGCAGGCAATTTCCCTGCTGCAAACTCTTTCTTGGCTTTCTTTTTCTTAACTGGCTTTTAAGAGGAACCTTGCCCTTATCTTTTCTGCTTTCCGCTCTTGGTATGCTCCTGTTTCAAATACATCTCTTGTTACTGCAGTGCTAATGCACCTGCACTTCACAGTTGAACTTAAACTTTGCTCCATTATTATTCTTGTCTCATTTGCTGTGCTATTAAAAAAAATTCTCCCATTGATTTTCAGCCCCGTTTTCTCACTTCTCCTCATTTTCACCCTGCTCTTTTAGTAAAAGCCAAGTGAAAAATTTGCACAACCTAAAGAGAAGCCATGTCATACTACTGTTCTGCATGCTTTAACTTCTGAGACATGAATCTTAACTCCAGTTTTGTTTTTTTCACTTTAACCCTGTATATCATCCACTGCAAGGTGACCCCTTATCTTCTGAAGCTCATTAATATCTATCTGTTATATCTCTCTCCTACCACTAACATTTTATTTAAATTTTTATTCACCTTTACTGTATCTGTTCTTTCTTCCTCTACCACTGGTAGCAAGAAACCACATGTGTTTATTTAAATTATTTGGTTAAGGTTAAGTAAAACCTACATACGGTTCCTCAGACATACTAATGAGTCACGTGTGGCTACTGAAAATTGAAAGACTGGTTAGAGTAATTGCAGAACTAAAATTTTAATTTTAATTAATTTAAATTTAATTAGGTACATGTGACTAATGGATACCTAATTTTATTTATTTAATAATAATTATTTATTTATCTATTTACTTACCCTTAAGTAATTGTACCAAAGGTTTCAATTCATCGTGTCAGTTTGGGAGTACAATACATTTTGATCAATGTCACCCCTCTTTACATTTTCCTCCATATCTCCTGTGATTACCCTATTGAACAGCTGAGACACAACACATTTCCATCACCACAGACATTTCTGTTGGACAGGGCTGATCTATAGGAGTTGGGAAATCTTTCCATTCAAGGACCAGATTGAAGAGTTTGGGCCCAATAAGTTTCATGGTAAACAGTCATTTCTGCTGTTATAACAGCAAAAACAGCCACTGAGAATTTGCCAACAACTGAACATTGCTGTGTTCTAACAACATTTTACTTGAGCAGAGGAAGATTTGGCATGTGGGTTGCAGTTTGCTAGCCCTTGTTTGGTATCTGTTCTTTCTATCCGCTTCCTGATTTCCTCTAAGTTTTCTATTTTTTCTCTTAAATATGTCTGAAATTGACCTCCCTTTTCTTCTTTGTTAACACTGCAACATTTCATTTTTGAGAGAAACCCCCCCCAAAACACTCTACTTGTGACAACTAAGTCTTAATAATGTTTCTACCACTTCCCAATAGCTCATTAAGTTATGCACTCATAAATATATAGAACCATCCATTAGTAGGTCATAGCTCTCATGATTCAACCACTTCCTTGAAAGCCTCACCTTGAACATTGCATTGGGGAACAAGTCTTCAACACTTCAGCGTTAAGGACATAGAAGATGAAAAGCTAGAATACTATCACATTAATTCACCAACACAGTATTATGGTTGGAACCCAGCTCTTGACTTAATAGCAATCCTAGTTAATTACTTGCCATATATAGACCTGTGTAGGTCACTTCATTTGTCTGCCTCAGTTTCTTCATTGGTTTACTGAGGATGATATTAGTATACTTAACCCACATTGATCTTTTCTATTTTTCTGAACCTGGGACTTGAACTCAATGCCTAGGTGCTGTTTCTGAGCTTTTCTGCTCAAGGTTAACATTCTACCACTTGAGCCATAGCTCTACCTTTGGCTTTTTGGTAGTTAATTGGCAATGAGTATCACAGACTTTCCTGTCCAGGATGGCTTCAAACCATGATCCTCGGATCTCAACCTTCCCTGTAGTTTATGAGTATAGTCAGTGAGCCATCAGCACCCGGCTTCATATTGTTCTTATTAAGATTAAGTGAATTGATTTCTATTACATGGTAATAGCATTGCCTGGATACAAAGTATATTGTTAGCTTTTATTTCTTCTAGTTGCCATAAATAGATGTCTAGGGACCATTTCAGTGTACTGGCTTTCGCCTTGTTTTACATACAGGAAATAAAACCTTAAGCTCTTAATGATCTTAATATTAAGCGAATCCAAAATTCACAAATATTAGATAAAAATTGATGTTCTTTGAGTATATTACCTAAAACAATAATATTATCTAATTGTTAAGGGCTTGGTTTTATCCAGTTTGCTGCCTTGAGCAAATTCTGCCATCAGTTCCCTTATATGTAAAATAGGCTTAAAAATAGTACTCCACAGAGGAAAGTGTTTTCTATTTTAAATGGGTTTAAACACATAGAGTAATAGTCTAGAGCAAGGTTCAATAAAGTTTAGGAACTTTTTGTTTCAAGACAAGATAAAGGAAATAAACTTCTTATGCAACTCACAACATACAGAGCACAGCTTAGGGCATCTCACATCAAGTGCATGTAAGAATACTGGAAGGATGAAACGGGGGTGTGAGGAATGATACAGCAATGGAGTTCTCTGGGTATTCTGTGTTATGTTAGACATTCTTAACTGTTTCTGAAAAAATGGCATTGGGTACAGACTATATAAAGCCCCAAATAAAATCTTCTCTCTGGTAAATGAAGCAAAAAAAAAATCACAAGATCTTGCAGGACAGAAAACTTTTACATATGATCACCCTAGTCTAGCCAAACACCAAGGAAATCACTTTGCCATAATTCCATACTTACCAATAAAAACCTGGTGGAGAGTCTAGATTTCTACCCTTGCCATCTACATGACCATCTTCCATGATATTATCATCTAAGTTTATATGGGGAGCTGGGGAGTTTGGTTAAAGTAGAGGGTCACATGGGGAGCAGAAATGAGAGTCCTTCCCCTTTTCATCCAAGGTGGTGTTTGGAAAACCAGTAGAAGCATGAAATTTCACCATGACCAATTAGTCAGGAGATGCTCCTCAGCCCACAGGGTGTAAGAATAGCCTAGAGATGAATTGGCATTTAGATTTGAGTGTGGTAGTGATAGAGTATCTTCCCTCCAGCACAGTGTCAAAACAGGCTGGCCAAAACAGAAGGTTTAAAACTCACAAATGATTTCTAAGGAATTAAATGTTGAAGTAAGTTTGTCTATTTACAGCAGGTACCAGGACTTCAGTCATATGCATAACATTTCTTTTTTCATGAGCTCTAATGCTTCTTTGCTACCCTTATATATGATTCATTTCATCTATGCAAAATAGATGACTTTCATGCTGTACACTCTAATTTCAACTCAAGCAATAAAAACCCACAAGTTGTCACTTTGAAGTACGAAGTGTATTTTTTCTAGTCTACATATAAATATATACATGTTTAGCAAAATAAAAGTGTGCATTCCATGTCATCTAAAATATGTCCATTATAACCATCATCAGTTGGAAGAGAATGCACTAGGAAACAGTTTATAAGCCAGTTTTGCCAAACTAGAGACAAATCAGCTGAGTTAAACAGTAATATATTCTGGAAGGAGTCACCTGCCTTTACTTTCTGATTTCTTTTCAGGTTTGTGGAAGGAATGCTTAACATCTGTTACAATGCTATTGATCGTCATATTGAAAATGGAAAAGGAGATAAGATTGCTATAATCTATGACAGTCCTGTTACAAATACAAAAGCAGCTATTACCTACAAGGAAGTCTTGGAACAGGTAATATCATAAATTTTCTATGTGTGTATTGGATGTTATATTGATTATTTAAATAGTACATGTTCTCATTATATAGTCGTTTTTATTGCAATGGTATATTATGGTTTCATTTTGGAGGTACCATGTCAATAAATGCAGGTATGTGAATTTAGGATCACTTTAACCCTCTATGTTTTACAGTACTGATAGTTACTCATTTTACAGGAGCGGGCTGGAAAATCTCAAGAATATGTTTAAATGTGCTTCTGTCCTTTGTGTTACTCTCAGCAGCATCACCATAGTGAAAAGTGGTGACTCCTCATCCTTGTACGATTGAATCAGTTCCCTTACTACCTTTCCAGATGACAGGATCTGTTCATGGTAGATTACTACCTAAAGTAATTCCAGAGGTTATTATCATTCAGAGATTAAGTCTTAATGACTCCTAACCTGTGATATGTAAGCCACTTTAGAATTTCAAGTTAATAAGACAAATAAAACCCCAATAAAATGAAAATTGTCTATGTATACCTGTGTGTGTGCGTATAGTATGCACAGTGCGTTCAGTGTATGAATGTATTGCATAATGTTAGTCACTTTTATGTTTCTAACTTTCTTGGCCATGGTTTTACCATTCTTCCTTATTTCCACATTCATTCCTTCGGATACTCCTGGCCCACTACAGCTCTATGCATTTATTTCTCATAAATGTTATGATCCTAGCTATTCTGTATATAGAGAAACGAGGATCATGATTCAATGCTGGTCAAGGCAGAAAAGCCTGTTAGACTCCTATTTTCCATTAACTAGCCAAAAACCAAAAGTAGAGGTATGGCTCAAGTGTTAAAGAGCCAGTTGAAAGCCAAAAGTTGTAACTCTTAGGGATATCACAGAATTGACAAGTGGGAGATAAAAGTTTTCTTTCTTAAAGTTAGAGAAAGAGTAAAATTTCAGAAGTATTTATAGTAAAGGTGTTTGAGTATTATGGGCAGTGGAAAAATCACTCCAATTCTGTGGGGCACTCCTTTGTATGTGTTTTAAAGGGAATAAGTATGTAGGACGGGGTACCTTAATCTCACTATTTGCATGAACATTGCAGAAATTAGTAGTGCACTGGATGATTATGTACTTAGATGCTTGTAGCTTTCTTCACTGAGTTGTGATGACTAAATTTGCCTCTGGACATTGTTAATATCTTTAAGTAATTTATTATTTATTCTTGTAGGTTTGCCTCTTCAGGTTTTAGAAGAGTTTTAGTCATGATTTAAAGCTTGTTCTTGAGTTTTTCTTATGTAATAGTGACAGTCTCATTTTATGAATACGACAGCCTGAGATACTTGGTAATTTTAATTTATATACAGCTTAGAAAGTTTATTTTAACATATTATATAATATTTATCTATATTAACACATTAATTTTCATACATACCCAAACACCAGAGTCAGAGGAAAAGCTTTGAAGAAACCTAAAATAAGATTGGCCACCAATCTCAATTTCTCTTCATCTCTTTTAAAATTAATTTATAATGTAAGTGTATTTAATAATTACACAAACCTATCTCATTCTGTAGCTCTCTGATAGCTCATCTTATTTTCAAATACTGAGTCTGGACTTTGAGACTTTTATTTTTTTAACATCTGTACTAGTTCACTGGTTTCAGTTTAGCCTAACATCAAAGCATTTACAAGGACAGTTTCTCTCACCTGCTGAAAGCTTCTGATTCCCCTGGCTTTCTTCTCTAAAGTACTAAAGGAAGAACTGTTAGGAAATAGAGGGAGCATTGTGTGTTACTTTGATTACCTGTGCCAGGGTCCCCTTTGGCCTTTATGTTTTTAAGTTGGGAAGACAAAGAAAGATTTAATGGGTAATTTCATTGAGGACAAACAAAAAGAGAACAGTGTTTGTCCCATTACTTACTTAATCTCCTCTGTTTCATTTCTAATGAGATTTTCTGGCTAGGTAAAGCTTGATTAAGTTAGTTAGAATTTTTTATTTAATTAGAAACCAACAAATTTTAGGCTGAGTTGCTGTAATGACACGAACCATTGGAGAATTTTACACAGTGATTCAAAAACACAGCATTTCTGAAACTGCCAAGTTTTCTGAGGATGTGAATAGTTTAAAGAAAACTTTACAGGAATTTGAGCTCCAGTTAAGAGCCACGCTTCATTCGGCAATTTTATTTTATATGTCAGATACTGACAGGAACAAAGAATAACAAGTAAATGAACACATCGCATCTTGTCAAGAGCTAAGAAAACAAATATATATGGTCAATTTCAATGTAATACAAGGGTTGATTCTGTGGAAATCCATGAGAAAGCATCTATATTATTTTTCTTGATCATAACACATACTTGTGGTAATTAACTTATAAACAGAAAAGGGTTATTTTAGGTCACTCTTCGGAAATTCCAGTCAAGATCAACTGGACCAACGTCTTTGGGTTTATGAAATAGGACCAGATGGTAACAGCAGGGGACATGTTGGTGAAGTATGCTACTCCTTTATGGCCAGGAAGCAAAGTACAGAGCAAGGAGGGTAAATTCCCACAATTCCTTGTGAGGGCAGATCCAAATGACCTAAGGATCTCCAATTCTGTCAGGTGTCCTACAAGTTCCAACAACTCTTGTTAGCATCACCTTGGGGGCAAAGGCTTTGCCATCTACCTTTGTGAGGGACACTAATTCAGACCATAGAAGCTCAGTTAGGGGAAAATAACATCAAAGAAGTTATTCTGCAAGAACTGGGTGTCTAAAGATACAGAGAATTATCTCCTCTCCTTTGAAATATTTTCTGTTTTCCTTCATATGTCCTATAAGTCATGTTACTTACATGTTATTTTGTCAATGAGATCTTCCATAATCAGACTAACTACAAATGTTCTTGCCCATACCATGTCATACCTCCCTTCTAGGTTTTTTTATTTTTTCAAATTTGGCACTTATTAATCATTACTATTTTTTCATATTTTATTTACTTATTTAGTGGTGTTATCTCCTATGTTAAGTTCTACAAGAACAGAGACTATTGTTTTGTTGGTGAACAAAAATAGAACCAAATAAAAACTTATTGGATGATAAACAAATGAAAGAAATTTTCAAATTTATTTTTTTTAATGACTGTATTACAGAAACTTTTTAAGTTATGGCAATAATAGAACTTGATTATCTTTCCAAATAAAATATAACATCTGCCTGCGGAAATTTTCAACTTGATGAATATTTTCTTCTTTGATTTTTTTTTTTTTCACAATTAACAGTCCGGAGATCTGCATTTCAGGAAATGTATACATTTATTGTGTCTTTATTATTTTAAGTGCTTTTCAAGTTAATAAGACAAATAAAACCCCAATAAAATGAAAATTGTCTGTGTGTACATGTGTGTGCATATATATATATATATACACACACACACACACACACACACACACATATATATATATATACATATATATATATACTATGTATAGTGTATTCAGTGTGTGAATGTAGCTATTGTATGTATAATGTTAGGCACTTTTATGTATTGCTACACTAAACTAAATTTAGTTTTTAATTTACCTCTTTGTGGATATTTTTTGTTTTGCAACAATTGTGGATTTTTTGTTTATTCATCAAACAAGAAAGTGACTCAAAAAGGGAATCTGAGAAATTTTCATGAATATATGTATGTTAGGAAAATGGTTAAAACTTAATGTGTGTTAAATTTCACTTATTTAATTCAAACTGAAAGTGACTATTATCTCCACTAGAGACAATTTTGAAATATAATTATGACAGTTGTGGTAATTATAAAGGTTTAGTAATTTAGAGAATGAAATTACTCTGAATCAAAGCTTCTGTCCAATGAAAAGTCCTCTCTAGCCTCTGCCCTTTGCAATGTTCTCTTCAAAGTATTATTTCCATACTCTCAGAAATATGTCAGGGTAAAATAATTTCATCTTTTCTAATCAGGGTGTCAGTGCTTCTTCAAATAAAAAGCTAAAATACAGAAACCAGAAGAAAAATGTGGAAATTCAGCCTCAACAATCTGACTTGCCTTACTGAGGAAAATGTATGAAGTGGTACAAATGATAGAGATTGTTTTTCCTTAAGTGACTTACTAAACTCTGGAAAGTTCATTTATATAATAGCCTCATTAAAAAGTTTTTATGTATAAGATAAAATTAAACATGCTCATGTTTGATAAGTAGAAAAAAACATGCTAAGATGAGAAAGAATTACAGTCCTTCATGTGCTTTTCCCTAGGGTTCTTTTATTTTGTCAGTCGTGGGGCTTGAACTCTGAGCCTGAGCATCGTCACTCAGCTCTACCACTTGAGCCACAGCACCACTTCCAGTTTTCTGAGTAGTTTATTGGAGATAAGAATCTCAAGGAGTTTCCTGCCGGGTCTGGCTTTGAACCATGAACCTCAGATCTCAGCCTCCTGAGTAGCTAGGTGGCGTGAGCCACCAATGTCTGGCGGGTTCAATTTTTTTGAACTTTTCTTTAAATATATATTCAGGAAAGAAAACTGATCACATGTATATTTTTTTAGCTTTTCATAAAATGAATATATCCATGTAACCAAATCAGAAAATAATATTTTCCCAAGTGCCCAGAAGCCCTTAATATGCCTTCTTCCGTCATTTCTTCCCCAGCCCCTATATGATTGCAATCCAAGTATCTAAACGCCATGAGTGAGCTATGCTTGCTTGGAATGTCCTAGAAATTGAATAACACAATGTACTCTCTATGTGTGTGGTATTTTCCCCTCCACTTTCTGTTTATGATATTCATATAGTCCATTGTAAGAGCTTGTAATTCAATAGTTTGGAAGATGTCTAGTTGGGGTCATTACACATAATGCTGATATGGATATGTTTGTGCACAAATTTTGGTCCTGATGTTCATACATCTGTGTTGTGAGTGCATTTAGGAATGAGATGGCTGGTTCACAGGGTATGCACGAGTTGAGCTTGCGTAAAGAGCACCAGGCAGTATTCCAGTGTTTGTACTGAGTTTTATTTCTACCTGCA